GCTTTGCCACATTCTTCACATTTGTAGGGTTTCTCTCCAGTATGAGTTAACTTATGTTCGGTAAGCTTTGAGGACCACTTAAAAGCTTTGCCACATTCTTCACATTTGTAAGGTTTCTTTTCAGTATGAATTTTCTTATGTTTAGTAAGGTTTGAGGACCGGCTAAAAGCTTCACCACATTCTGTACATTTGTAGAATTTCTCTGCAGTATGGATTCTCTTATGTGTAGTAAGGTTTGAGAACTGGTTAAAGGCTTTGCCACATTCTTCACATGTGTAGGGTTTCTCTCCTGTATGAATTCTCTGATGCTTAGTAAGAGTTGAGGGCCAGTTAAAGGCTTTGCCACATTCTTCACATTTGTAGAGTTTGTGTCCAGTATCAATTTTTTTATGTGTAGTAAGGCGTGAGGACCTGTTCAAGGCTTTTCCACATTTATCACATGTGTAGGGTTTCTCCGCACTACAAATTCTCTTACGTTTAGTGATGATTGAAGGCCACTTAAAGGCTTTTCCACATTTTTCACATTTGCAGAAATTCACTCTGGTATGAATTATTTTATGTTGAGTTAGATGTGAAAGCATGCAAAATGATTTGCCACATTCTTTACATTTGAAAAGTTTTTTTTCAGTATGGCTTATCTGATGTCTGTTTGAATTTGAAAATTTATGAAAGGCTTTCACACATTTATCAGATAGAAATGTTTTTCTCTGGGTAGTTGGCAAGCATTGGTTAAATCCATTATAACCTTCTCTGTGCACCTTACACTCATCCACACTTTTACAGTCTTTTTTTAAATATAAATTTTTATGTTCACAGTTTTTATATCTTAGTGTCACTTTTTGGAAAGGATCTTTTAGATGTTGCTCTGGCCAAAAGTCTTGGGCAAAATGAGAACACATAACTGAAAAAAATAAAAATAACAAATTATCCCACTTGCTAGACTCAGCAATAAATATACTTAGTATATTTAACACATAAAATTATACAAGGTACATAAGCAAGATGGCACAGAAAAATACCACAGGCCCTTATTTATTTATAGGCATATATGTAACAAAAACATACTGACCAAAATGCACTGGTGAAAAAATGTATAAATCAGTGAAGTGTCCCAGGTGAGCTCAACACAAAGAGCCACATAGAAAGAAAAGATAAATTGGTTACATTTACCCAAAACAGTTTTTTCTGCTCTCCAACATAATATAGTGCCTTTAGAAGTAAATTGCCAACTCCAATTATTTTGCATATAGGGGAATACCTGAGAGTGGATAATCTATAAAGAAAAAAGGTTTATTTTGCTCACAATTTGGCAGACTGTACAAGAAGCGTGTGCCAGCATCTGCTTCTGGTGAGGGTCTCAGGAAGCTTACTGTTATGGTGGAAGGAAAAGAATGGAAATATCACATGGTAATAGAGAAAGTGTGAGGTGAAGGAGCCAGGTTCTTTTAATGAACCAACAGCCTTTTGAGTGTAACAGAGTGTAAACTGTTTTTTTTTTTTCTTTCAGATGAAGACTCATTCTGCCATCCAGGCTGCGGTGCCAGTGGCGCGATCTCAGCTCACTGCACCCTCTGCCTCCCAGGTTCAGGTGATTCTCCTGCGTCAGCCTCCCAGGTAGCTGGGACTACAGGCACATGCCACCACACCCAACTAACTTTTTTATTTTCAGTAGAGACAGGGTTTCACTATGTTGGCAAGGCTGGTCCCAAACTCCTGATCTCAGGTGATCTGCCGACCTCGGCCTCCCAAAGTTCTGGGGCTACAAACGTGAGTCACCGCGCCCAGCTGAGGGTAAACTTTTTTATTACTAAGAGGATGGTGCCAAGCCATTCATGAAGAATTCACCCCCCATAACAAAAACACCTCTTTCCAGGTCCCACATCCAACATTGAAGATTACATTGCAGCATGAGGTTTAGAAACATGGACATCCAAACCATATCACAGACAAAGTATACTTAACAGACTCATACAAACCTTTCTAGTAAAAAGCAAGAGACTACACAATATTCTTATTTGCAGTTTGTGTATTCTATTAGGATGAATACCAAGTTTTATTAAATTTAAGAATACCAGCTGGGTACAGTGGTTTATGGCTATAATCCCAAAATTTGGGAAACAAAGGTAGGAGGATCACTTGGGGCCAGAAGTTTGAGACTAGCCAGGGCAACACAGTGGGGCCCTGTCTCAACAAATAATTTTTAAAAGAATTAGCCAGGAATGGTAGTGCATGTCTGTACACCCAGCTACTTGAGGGACTGAGGCTGAAGGATCACTTGAGCCCAGGAATTTGAGGCTGCAGTGAGCCAAAATCATGCCACTGCATTCCAGTATGGGCAGCAGAGTAAGATCCTGTCTCAAAACAACGACTACAACCAATAAATTTAAGAAGGCCAAAATTATACGCTGTGTTTTTTGACCAACATTGTGTAAAACTAGGAATTAAAAGCAAAACTAAAAAACTATGAAAATAAAACATACTTTTCAACAAATTCTTTTTTTTTTTTTTTTTTTAGACAGAGTTTCGCTCTTGTTGCTCAGGCTGGAGTGCAATGGTGTGATCTTGGCTCACCGCAACTTCTGCCTCCCAGGTTCAAGCCATTCTCTCCTCTCCGCCTCCCAAGTAGCTGGGATTACAGGCATGCACCACCATGCCCAGCTAAGTTTTTGTATTTTTAGTAGAGATGGTGTTTCTCCATGCTGATCAGGCTGGTCTTGAACTCCTGACCTCAGGTGATCTGCCCACCTCAGCCTCCCAAAGTGCTGAGATTACAGACGTGAGCCACCGCGCCCGGCCTCAACATATTCTTGCTCAAGGATCAAAGAATTTAATTTTTGCAAAGTTGTCGATACAAGCTACAGTGATGAACTAATAATTTAATATAATCTCTACAAAAAATTCAATAGTATAATTTTTTACAGAAATATTCTTCACAATTTTAAAATTTGATTAAAAACTACAGCCAAACTATGAAAACAATAAAGAGGTATTATACTTTCTGATTTCAAAACACAAAAGCTACAATAACAATGTGGTACTGACACAAAGACAGAGAAGCAGATGAATAAACAGAATAAAGTGCCCTAAAATGAACCCTTCTGTTTCTGATCAAATGATCTTCCACAAAGTTGCCAAGAGCAAACAATAGAAAAACAAGTCTTCAAAAAATAATGTTGAAATGTGGATATCAAAAGTAATAAAATAAAGTTGGATCATTTCCTTAAATTATATATACAAATAATTTAAATAGCCAAAAAGAAGTAACTAACAAATCTTTTAAAAAGAAATATTAAAAAAAGACATGACATTGGTCTTGGCACCATTTTCTTAGATACAACCTTAAATGCATGAACAACAAAGAAAAGAACAGAAAAATTTAACTACATTATACCTCGAAGTTTCTGTACATCAAAGAAAACATTTGATAGAGCGACAATGCCTCCTAGAAAATAAAAGTATTTGCAAATCCCATGTGATATTTATTCATTGATATTCAGAATATATAAATAACTCTTAAAACTGAACAATGAACATGAATAATTTGATTTGGAAATGGACAAATAATTGAACTAAATTTTTATCAAAAATATACAAATGGGAAGAAGTATTTGAAAACACAAAATTAGGATTTGTAGAGAAATGCATAAAAATCGCAATGAAAAACAAAATCACCTCACACCCATTTAGAATGGCCACTATAAATTTTTTTAAAACACAAAATCTGCCGGTCGCGGTGGCTCAAGCCTGTAATCCCAGCACTTTGGGAGGCCGAGGCGGGTGGATCACGAGGTCAAGAGATCGAGACCATCCTGGTCAACATGGTGAAACCCCGTCTCTACTA